ACTCAGCATTTGAGCAGAGGGTGAGCACAAGTTTGGTTGTATGTGGCACGATCTGAGGAACTCCAGGGCAGTTGACTGTCAGGAGAGTGGTGGCACTTTATATGCCAGATCTAGAAAGTAGATGACACAATCTCTTTTCCCATCAGTTCTTACTGATGACTGGCAACAGTGAGGAGTTTGACATGAGGAAGAGTGGGTACCAGTGGAGCAGGACCTGGTATCTCCTCTGAGTTGGGGAGCTGGGGAGGAGGGCCATGGCCTGGGGTTCTTGGTTAGAGAGGCTGCTTATGCATTGCTCTGCCCTCATCATGACAGGGCCATGTGACCTTTGAGGATGTGGCTGTGTACTTCTCCCAGGAGGAGTGGGCGCTCCTTGACGAGGCTCAGAGACACCTGTACCGCACTGTGATGCTGGAGAACTTGGCACTGATAGCCTCCCTGGGTAAGGACCCTCATTCCCACACCATTGCCTCATATGAGGCTCTGCTCTTCTCCTTTTTCCAAGGGTCTCTGTCCTTCCCAGAGCTGGGCCATGGGCATTGCTTCCTTTCCTGGTTTCTTGGCATAGGTGTTGTGTTTGCTGGGCCTGGGCTTTATGAAACCCCAACATATTCTGTCCTGAAGCCTCTCACAGAAGGGTTTGGTTTCTGAGTATTGCAGCCTGTCCTGCCAGTGCATTTGGCTTTGCACCTCCTTGTAAGGTGACTGTTCACATCTGTGCCACATGTGTCACAATTTCTGCCCCTGCCTTTATTAGATATTGCTTGGACCTTGCCTGTCTCAGGAATTACAGGCACTTACGTGGTCATGATTGGCACAGAGCACTAGGCTGTTACAGTAAGCCTCCCCTTCAAGGTTCTTTGTGTGATGAGTTTTGTTCAGTGGTGTCATGGGTTGAGACACCCTGGGCTAGTGTTGTCTACTCAACTGCTGTGTTTTTCCCTTCGAACTTCCATCTTCTGGGTCCCATTTAGTCATCCAACTTGAGCCAGGGGCTGGAGGGGAGCTCTGGGTGCCTGGCAGGGTGGACAAATTTCCAAAGATTAATGGAGTCCTGGGTCTGGACTGTGGAGAAGGTATGATTTCAGGACGGAGTACAAATCATACCAGGCAAATGTCCTTTGCATTTTCCTGAGTGCCAATAAGATTATTTTTTTAAATTTTATTTATTTATTTGAGAGAGAGAATGAGAGAGAGAGAGAGCATGAGAGGGGGGAGGGTCAGAGGGAGAAGCAGACTCCCCGCTGAGCAGGGATTCCTCCGATGTGGGACTCGATCCCGGGACTCCAGGATCATGACCTGAGCCGAAGGCAGTCTCTTAACCAACTGAGCCACCCAGGCGCCCACCAATAAGATTATTTTTAAAAAATTATTGTTTGCCTTTTGTAATTCTAATCTAAAGTGGCATGCAAGGGCGCCTGGGTGGCTCAGTTGGTTAAGCGACTGCCTTCGGCTCAGGTCATGATCCCAGGGTCCTGGGATCGAGTCCCGCATCGGGCTCCCTGCTCAGCAGGGAGTCTGCTTCTCCCTCTGACCCTCTTCCCTCTCATGCTCTCTATCTCTCATTCTCTCTCTCTCTCAAATAAATAAATAAAATCTTTAAAAAAAAATAAAAAAATAAAGTGGCATGCAAGAGCTTTGCAGTCTCTGGTTTTAAATCTTTCTCTTGTTAATTTGTAGGACTTATTAAATGTATTATTTATATATTAACTCTAAAAATTATAGATGACTCAATATTTTCTCACTTGTGTTCTTGTTATTTTAATTTTTATGGGTTTTTTGATAATAGAAACCTGTTATTTTCATAGTTGTTGTATATGGTTTTTTTAAAGATTTTATTTATTTTTTTTATAGATTTTATTTATTTATTTAAAGATTTATTTATTATTCTGTATTTGACAGAGAGAGACACAGTGAGGGAGGGAACACAAGCAGGGGGAGTGGGAGAGGGAGAAGCAGGCTTCCCGCTGAGCAAGGAGCCCAATGTGGGGCTCGATTCTAGGACCCTGGGATCATGACCTGAGCCAAAGGTAGATGCTTAACAACTGAGCCACCCAGGTGCCCCTGTGTATAAGTTTTGATAATTTTTATATTTGGCTTGAGAGATCCTGTTCTATCATTTCACAAATATATTTTCTTCCACGATCTTGTAAGAGTTACGTATTTTTTATTCCTGTTAAGCCTTCTTTATCTGAAATTAATTTTTCTGTATGATTAAAAGCAGAGATGAAAATCTGAGTTTAACCAGTTGGATACCCTGTTTCCCCTGAACAATTTTTTTAAGCAGCCATTTTCCAATGTTCTGTAGCACCAACATAGCCCAGTCTTGCAGGAGGAATCTAAATATGTGAGTGCTTTTTTATAACCTTTATAATTTACTCTGCTAGGTTTGAACTTGAATTCCATGCCATTATGCCAATAAGACACTGTTTTCTTATTTTAAATTTATGACTTGCATTAATCTTTTATAGAAGATTACTACAAACTTTTATATTAAAATAATTGTGTATCTTCTTTTTAAAAATTATTTATTTGAGAGAGAAAGAGCAAGAGAGAGAGCATGAGTGGGGTGGAGGGGTAGAGGGAGAGGGAGAGGGAGAAGCAGACTTCCCACTGAAAAGGGAGCCCAATGCAGGACTCAATCGCAGGACCCTGGAATCATGACCTGAGCTGAAGGCAGATGCTTAACCAACTGAGCCAGGTAGGCTCCCCTGGAGAATTCGTTTGATGGGGAAGTTCATGTCCCCCTTTCTTTTTTTTTTTTTTTAAGATTTTATTTATTTATTTGACAGAGCGAGAGAGCACAAGCAGGGAGAACAGGAGAGGGAGAGGGAGAAGCAGGCTCCCCATGGAGCAGGGAACCTGATGTGGGGCTCGATCCCAGGACCCTGAGATCATGACCTGAGCCGAAGGTAGACACTTAACCATCTAAGCCACCCAGGCGCCCCCATGTCCCCCTTTCTAAGAGCAGGAGTTACTTAATTCGGATCCTCCCTTTATTGCCCAACACTCTATGATTATGGGAATATCATGATCTTTTATTGTCTTTATATTTCTGAAGTTTTTAAGGGCTGGATGATCAGTAACCACAGCATTTTCAGATTTATAAGATTCTGATGTGGGTTTTTATATGAGCAAATTTTATTAATTCCCACACTACATCTTCTTACCTAAGTGTTTTTGATTTAAATTTATTTTTTTTTAAAGATTTTATTTATTTATTCATGAGAGACACACAGAGAGAGGCAGAGGGAGAAGCAGGCTCCCAAGGAGCAGGGAGCCCGATGCGGGACTCAATCCCAGGACCCTGGGATCATGACCTGAGCCGAAGGCAGATGCTTAACCATCGGAGCCACCCAGGCGCCCCAATTTAAATTTATTTTTAAAAAAGATTTAAATTTATTTTATGATGTCTCTTCCAAAAGATCACAAATCTTTCCTTTTTTGTTAGTTTACTTCACTGTCCTAGGTCTATTACATATTTTTTTTTTAAGTAGGCTCCATGCCCAGCTCAGAGCCCAACAGGTAGCTTAAACTCACAACCCCGAAATCAAGACCTGAGCTGAGATCAAGAGTTGGATGCTTAACTGACTGAGCCACCCAGGCACCTCTCTGTTACATATTTTTATTCTGTTATGTCCCAGATTTCTCTTTTCAATATTAAGTGGTGTTTTAAAAATTATAAAAATTTAAATTTAATAACTATAAATTTCAGTTTTTTTAAGAAATCAATTCTGTATAAATGTCAGGTGGCTATCCACTGTGACACCCCCTCCTCTGCTCCTTTTCCCCTCCCTAGCCCAGACAGGTAACCCTGCTTTACCTGCTGAAGATCCTTCTAAACCAGTCTATGTTCAGTCACTAACTTTTAAATCACATCTGCTGATTTACAGCTAAGTGAATTCACCTTCACACACATATATATGAAAATTAATAACTGAAACCTCACTAAAATGTAGTGAGGAGGTTTCGGCAAGGGGAGTTCTTATGCACTACCACTTACAGTCCATTGCAGACCCAACAGGAAGAGATATACTTGATCTAACAGATGGATGCTACTTTACTATCCCAGCTGGAGAAAGAAAACTTTGCTTATTCCCCAACAACTCAGCCAATGAGAAGCCACTCTACTTCGAACTCCCCGTTTATTCCAATGGACTTTTAGTTTATAACAGCCTTCCCAACTTACCTCTTTTCTCCATAAAAGTGGGTACCTCTCCTTTGTCCTTTACCTAAGGTTTTGCGTAGTTTGTTCGTCCTGGATTACAATTCTCTTTTATTCCGAAATAGGCCCATCTTTGGCTGGTGAAATAACTGGAAGTTTTCATTTAAGGTTAACAGGTTTTACTGACTCTAATTTGATGTGTGGTTTTTTCCTAATATTTTATTTATTTATTTGACAGAGAGAGACACAGCGAGAGAGGGAACACAAGCAGCGGGAGTGGGAGAGGGAGAAGCAGGCTTCCCGCCTGAGCAGGGAGCCCGATGCGGGGCTCGATGCGGGGCTCGATCCCAGGACGCTGGGATCATGACCTGAGCTGAAGGCAGACGCTTAACGACTGAGCCACCCAGGCGCCCCTGATGTGTTTTTAATTTGTCCTTTCATAGGGGCCACCCGCTCCTCAATGTGCAGACGAGTGGGAGAGGCTCTTACGCCGCAAGGCACGGCTTAGAGGAACTACGTTACCCAGAAGACTGTGCTCCCAGCTTCCGGATCACGCTGACCAATGAAGGCGCGCGCCGGGGCGTTTCCAAGAGGACGAAAGGCCAGGGGCGGGGCTTCCTTCTTGTGCCTCGTGGATCCCGTGATTCTGATCCTAGGCTCCTAGTCGTGCGTGCGCCGAAGGGAACTGGAACCTAGAGGAGCAAAAGAGGACACGTGTGCTCTGCACGGAGCGGGTCTGGGGTTCGGTGTGAGCGCGGCTGCGGGGAGCCGCTCTCGGGGCCTCCTGCCGGTCTCCGCCATTATCACGCGTCCCCTGGCCCGGTTGAACCCGCAGATGACTATGGTGACGGCCGGGCCAAAGTACCCGGCCCAGGTGAGGGAGTGTGTTCTGGTCCGAACCCCAAGGGGGTGGGTCTCCTGCTCAGGACATTGCAGTCCAGGCCCAGGTCCCCAGAACCTGGGGCGTTCGTGGGCGGGGGCCCCATTCTGGCCCCCCGTGGGAGGCGTGTGGATGGGACCAGCACGTGCGAAGCCGTGGGGGCGCGCGTGAGCGCGGAGCCTTCGGGAGAGCGGGGTTCCGACTCGAGTCGGCAGGGAGCAGCCGGGCGGTCGGGGTGACGGCTCTGGGGGCCTTGGAGGGTTGTGAATGGAAGAGGGACGCGGGCGGGGTTGGAGGTTTACAGTCTTTCCAAGGCTGCTCAGGGGAGAACGGGCTTGGGGAGCCAGGGAGACTGTTGCAAAAGACTCGAAACAATAATACTGGTTTCTGGACCGCTAGAGCAGTGGCTAAGAGGAATGTAACAGTAAGATTCCTGATGATCTTAGACATAGAACCGGAAGGATTTCCTGCTGCAGCGAGTGTGGCTGTGAGCAAAAGGGCAGGATCAAAGACTATCCAGTCTTTCTTTTGCCTGAATATCTGGACGCGCTGAGACGAGGAAACTGGTGTGAGGAGCAGGTTTCAGGGAGAGCTTAGGAGTTGGATTTTGGACTTAACTGGTCCCGAGCTCCCAAAGTAGAGGTGACATACAGGCGGCTGGAATCTCTGCTCTGGACTCAGCGGAAGCTGGCTCCGTGATGTCCATATAGTAATAGCCTAAGTCCTGGACCAGGACCAAGCCTGGATCTCAGATTTAGGATGGAAAGATCTGAACACTTCTTTGAGATAGGCCCCGAGATGAAGGAAGAGAGGGCTGGGGCTGGAGGGCAGGCAAGAGTGCCTACAGATGGGAGGGTCCTGTGGTCCAGGGCTTTAAGGTGGTGGAGGAGAGGAAGGTGTAACGAGTAAGGAGCCCTGCTGGGATGGGAAATGGAAGGGGAGGTGTGAGGGCACGTGAGAGTCTCTGCTCTGAAGACTCAGCCGACTGTCTACTCCCTGTGGAGCCAGGGAAGGGCCAGCCTGGCTGGTGGAGGAGCCCAGGTTCATGAACGTCTCATAGGTGCCTCAGCTCTCCCAGGAAGTACAAGTTCAAAACAGTATAACTTTAGTCAGTTGAACTTATGCAAGCAAGTAATAATTGGTTGGAATAGCAGTATACCTCTGTGACAAAATGTGTGTGTGTATATATATATATATATATATATACATATATATATATATTTGGATTTTTGTCATGGACGCTTGCCATAGATCTCCTAAAACCCTTGGAATTTCCTGGGTGTTAGGAGTGGTTTTTGTTATCATAACTGTCTCCTTTCATCCCACAGGAGTTTATTCTAATGAAGTGACTTGGGGTGGGGCTCCTAGATAGCCTCAAGTTGGGGCTGGTCACCAGAAAGACCAGGTGATTAGAAGTTTAAACTCTCAGGGTGCCTGGCGGTCTCAGGTGGAAGAGCATGAGACTCTTGATCTTGGGGTCGTGAGTTTGAGCCCCACATTGGGTATAGAGATTACTTAAAAATAAATAAAATGTTTTTGTTTGTTTTGTTTTGTTTTGTTTTAAAGGCACTTCAACTTTTAGCTACGCCCCCACCTCCCAGATGGGAGAGGAGCTGGAGGTATAAAAATTGTTGAGCTGTGAGATTCAGGGAGCCTCCAGGATGGTGAACACATTGAAATAAAAGAAGTGCTGGGAGGTTGTGCTCACTGGCCCTGATCCCCATCCCCATGGTACTGGCACATAGATAAAAGAGATAGTGACATCCTCAGGCCCTTTGTTGTGAGCCCTGGGGTCATCTTAGGTGCAGGGTCCTTAATCAAGGCCAGAAGTTGTGTTGAGGTGTCCCATTTCTCTAGTCCGTAAGGTGAACCAGCATGTCCACATGGGAGTGTCCAGTGAACTGCAGGACTACATTAAATCTGCTGGGAACAGAGATTGAGGGGCAAGAGCCAGTCCTCAAGTAGCAGCTTGAGGAATTGGGTCTGCTGAGGGCAGTAGGTCCGTGGAAGGTTTGGGGCAGAGAAGGGAAGTGAGTGATTAGACTCAGGTCTAATCAGGCTACTCTGCCTGCAGAGTGGAGGACAGATTGTGGGGGTGAGGGTGGAGGCAGAGAGACCCCCGGGGAGGCTGCAATTTTGGTGAAGGTTAATGGTAGCTGGATCATAGCACTGGCTCCATAGTTGGAGAAGACTGTTTTGTTTCTAGGTTATTTTGTAAGTAGGGATGATTTTCTGCTGTACAGGGCGAGAGAGAATCTAGGATTACTCCAGGATGTTTGGCTTTAGCTGGAAGTGTGGAAGTGCTGTTGCTGAGATGGAAAGTCCATAGCAGGAGTACTTAGCAGCAGCACTCTGAGGAGTTAGGTTTTTGCCATGTTGTGTCTGAGATATTGCAGGGACCTTTGAGTGGAGGTGGCAAGTGGGCATCTAGAAGCAAACATCTGGATTTCAGGGAAGGGGTTCAGGTTTGAAGACACCCCTCAGCGGTGGCAGGCATGTAGACCATGTCTCATTTAAGAGGGTGCACTCTGCAGATCATGGTGGCAATGCCATTACAGGGGAAGGATGGGGAGGATATTCTCCATGGACTGGCTCACTTGCTTGGGCACCTGGATAGGGATGGCTGTCATCACTAAGACATGAGGAAGTACAGTGACCATGAGTGTGTGTGGGGGTCGTATGAGGGAACAGGCCTCAGGTGGGAGTCCACGTGGTGGCAGAGGACTCCCAGGGGCTGGATGCAAGATTTACCGAAAGGCAGAGCAGTAATGGCGATCAGATGACACTGTGTAAGGCGTGGTACTTTTCTCCCTCTGCAGGTTTAGTTTTGTGACAGCTCTTGCTGGAACCTGAAGCGTGTCAGATGGGATGACAGATTAGCTTAAGAGAAAAGGAGGTCAGCTGAGCATCTCTTGGGCTGCAGTAGGAGAAGTGGGGCTGGGCTTTGATTGAGAAGAGGTGGAGCGAGGAAAGGTGTGACTGGTGTGGGGACAGCACAAGCCACACTGAGGAGGAGGGTTTGGGGGGGTCCGACTCCTACACAGGCTAGGGTGGCTGAAGTTGGAAGACGGAGCCAGACCAGGTGGGGCAGTCCTCAGTGCTAGGACTGCCTCTGGGAGGAGGGTCCATCAGAGGCCCTGGGGTAGCCCTGGATCCTGTTGCGTTTGGCAAACACTGCCTGGGTGCCACATGCAGAGTGACGTATGGGGAAACCAGAGAGATGCCTGGGACAAGAACCAGAGGCGGCAGTGGTGTCACGGATGAGTGGTCGTGGCCTGGCACACGAGAGAGGAGTGATCCCATTGTGCTGTGCAAATGCGGGGGGAGTGTGAGGATGCACTCAGTGTCCTTGTACTCAGGGCTTAAGCCAGAAGGCTGAGCATAAGTGACATATGGGGCGTGATCAGTATGATCCCAGGAGAGCTGACTGTGAAGAGAGTGCCAGGGACTCTCTACACCAGCCTAGAGTGCAGGTAAGACTACCTCTCTCCCCATCTGTTCCTACTGATGACTGGCAACAGTGAGGAGTTTGACGTGAGGAAGAGCGGGTACCAGTGGAGCGGGACCTGGTATCTCCTCTGAGTTGGGGAGCTGGGGAGGAGGGCCATGGCCTGGGGTTCTTGGTTAGAGAGGCTGCTTATGCATTGCTCTGCCCTCATCATGACAGGGCCATGTGACCTTTGAGGATGTGGCTGTGTACTTCTCCCAGGAGGAGTGGGCGCTCCTTGACGAGGCTCAGAGACACCTGTACCGCACTGTGATGCTGGAGAACTTGGCACTGATAGCCTCCCTGGGTAAGGACCCTCATTCCCACACCATTGCCTCATATGAGGCTCTGCTCTTCTCCTTTTTCCAAGGGTCTCTGTCCTTCCCAGAGCTGGGCCATGGGCATTGCTTCCTTTCCTGGTTTCTTGGCATAGGTGTTGTGTTTGCTGGGCCTGGGCTTTATGAAACCCCAACATATTCTGTCTTGAAGCCTCTCACAGAAGGGTTTGGTTTCTGAGTCTTGGACCTGCCCGATCAATTCTGATTAGCTTTGCCCCTCCTTATTTTGTTGACTGTTCCCATTTGTGGAAGATCTGTGTCACAGGTTCTGCCCTCTACTGTTTTGTGTACTGCCTGTGTCGGGAATTATAGACACCTACATGGTCAGTATTTGCAGGCTACCCTAAATTATTTTTGCAAGTCTGTCCTCAAAATCTTCGTAGTAATAAACTTCTTTCCTGTAGTCTAGAAGTGGTTGGGTCACTCTGGGCCAGTGTCGTCCACTTAACTGCCCTGTTTTCTCCTGAGGACTTCAATCTGCTAGGTCCCAGAAAATAGCCTAGGTTGAGCTGAGGGGTAGAGGGGAACCCTGGGTGCCTGATAGCTCCGACACCTCTCCAACCATAGGAAGGGAGATAATGGAATCCTGGGTCTGGTGAGTAGGAGCGGTGGGAAGGCATGATTTCAAGATTGAGTATAAATCATACCAGGAAACCATCCTTTGCTCACACTATTTTAGTGCCAAGGCTCATGGCCATACCTCGTTTCAGACCTTCCTCCCCATCCTTGACATTTTGCCCACTTGTCATTTCTGCGGTGACTTCTAGTCCCTGGCTATCCCCTACATCTATGTCCCTCACATCTTTCCCCTTTCTTTCTCTCTGCAATGTTCTGCAGCATTAGCCTACACTCTGTGTGTCATGAGATGTGTGCACATAGTCCTAAATGGTTGACCACCAGCTAAAAGGCAGTTGCCTTTTCCTGGGGTGGGACACACATTCTACACAGCACACACTTGTCACCAGCAGACAAGGTCCTGCTGAGAACCCCTGGCAGAGGAGTGAGTTGTACCAGACCTCTCCTGCTGGCGCAGCACTGTATCCTACTTTCTTGCTCGTTGTGAGGCCCCCGTCCCCACAGACACTGTTCTGTAACCATCAGAGGCCAAGTGCTATACAGTGTCCCCTTCCTTCACCTGATCCTGGCTCCTTTGTCCTGAAAACAAACCCATGGACTCAGTCCTGTTTGTGTCCTACACACATTTGTAATGGGCTGTCCTGTCCCACCAAAGTCTATAATACACTTCAGCAGCATTTTTCTGCTCTCAGGTTGTTGGCATGGGGTAAAAGCTGAGGAAGCTTTTTCTGAGCAATGTGTTTTTATGGAAAGAGTGTCACAGGCCAGGACTCCAGACCCAGGCCTGTCTGTCCCAAAGGCTCATTCCTGCGATGTGTGTGTCCGAGCGGAGAAAGACGTCTTGTACCTTGCTGAGCGTGAAGGAACATGTGCTGGACTGAAACCATGCACTTGTGGGCCTTGTGGAAAACTGTGCTCGTTTAGTTCTTACTTACACCAGCACCAGAAGCAGAACCATGGAGAGAAGGACCTTGGAGGGGAGGAGAACGGGGCTTTGTTCATGAAGAGCAAAGTCCTCACGTCAGACAATATTTTCACCTGTGGAGAGGTGGAGCATTATTCCCTGGGCAGCATGGGCCTTCTCCAGCACCAGGCCATCCCCAGCAGAGAGCATCCACACAGAGGCAGAGGGAGCAGGGCAGTTTCTCACACTCGGCGACGGCAGCACAGCACACATGGGCAAGCCTGCCACAAAAAGGTTAAATTCATGGAGCAGCAGAGTGCTCACAGTGGAGAAAGCCTTCATAAGTGCAGTCAATGTGAAAAATCCTTCGTCTCCAAAAAAAGACTTCTTGAGCACCAGAGAATCCACACTGGAGGAAAGCCTCATGAGTGTAGCAAATGTGGGAGGTTCTTTAAGTACAAATCTAGTCTTAATCAACACTGGAAAGTTCACACTGGAGAAAGGCCTCATAAGTGCAGTGACTGCGGGAAGTCCTTCATCTATAAAAGCAGACTTCTTGAGCACCAGAGAATCCATACTAGAGAAAGGCCTTATAAGTGCAGTGAATGTGGGAAGTCTTTCATCTATAAAAAGAGACTTCTTGAGCACCAGAGAATCCACACTGGAGAAAGGCTTTATAAGTGCAGTGAATGTGGGAAGTCTTTCTTCTACAAAAGAATACTTATAAGGCACCAGAGAATCCACACTGGAGGAAAGCCTCATGAGTGTAACGAATGTGGGAAATTCTTTAGACACAGACCCAACCTTGTTCATCACCGGAAAGTTCACTCTAGAGAAAGGCCTTATAAATGCAGTGAATGTGGGAAGTCCTTCATCCATAAAAGGAGACTTCTTGAGCACCAGAAAATCCACACTGGAGAAAGGCCTTATAAGTGCAATGAATGTGAAAAGTCCTTCTTCTACAAAAGAATACTCCTTGAGCACCAGAGAATCCATACTGGAGAAAAGCCTTATGAGTGTAACGAATGTGGGAAGTTCTTGAGACACAAATCTAGCCTTAATCATCACTGGAAAGTTCACACTGGAGAAAGGCCTCATAAGTGCAGTGAATGTGGGAAGTCCTTCATCCATAAAAAGAGACTTCTTGAACACCAGAGAATCCACACTGGAGAAAGACTTTATAAATGCAGCGAATGTGAAAAGTCCTTTGTCTACAAAAGCAGACTTCTTGAGCACCAGAGAATTCACACTGGAGAAAAGCCTTTTGAGTGCAGCCAATGTGGGAAGTTCTTCAGACACAGCTCCACCCTCCTTAAACACCAGAAAGTTCACAACGGAGAAGGCCATCTCAGCGTGGTAAATGTGGAAATCTTACATCCACAAAAAAAGATTTGCACCAGAGAATCCACATCAGAGAAAAGTTTTATGAATGCAGCAAGTGTGGGTAAACCTTCATAAAAAGGTTTGAATTCAATGAGCACCAGAGAGTTCACCCTGGAGAAAAGCCATATGAATGTAATGAATGTGGGAAGTTCTTTAGACACTGATCATTGATCCGCTCACATTCAACACCAAAAAGTTCATGCTGGAGAGAGGCCTTGAATATGTGTAATGAATGTGGGATGTCCTCCATTTACAAAAGAAATCTTGAGCACAGAGAATCCAAACTGGAGGAAGAACCTTTGAGTATAATGAATGTGGGGAAAGCCCTCAGCCTCAAGGATAGACTTGTTCAGCACCACAAAGTCCACACTGGAGAAAAGCCTATTTGTGCAGCAAATGTGGAAAGTATTTCAGTGGAAGATACTGCTTCATCAGGCGCCAGAAAGTTCACAGTAGAGAAAGTCCTTAGTAGTAGACAAACACCTTGTTGTTTAAGCCACATTGAAGTTTGGAGGTTATGTGCACTTTGGGGGTAGGTTTAGGATAGAATTGTGGTTTGCCATTGTGAAGGGGTGAACAGCTTTTGTGAGTCAGTGTCATGTCAGAGGCACAGTACAAGTCAGAAAATATTTCTTTTTTGTTTAAGATTTTATTGGGTGCCTGGGGGGCTCAGTTGGTTAAGTGACTGCCTTCGGCTCAGGTCATGATCCCGGAATCCTGGGATCGAGTCCCGCATCGGGCTCCCTGCTCTGCGAGGAGCCTGCTTCTCCCTCTGACCCCCCCCCATGTACTCTCTCTCTCTCATTCTCGCTCTCTCAAATAAATAAATCTTTAAAAAAAAAAAAGATTTTATTTATTTATTTGACAGACACAGCGAGAGAGGGAACACAAGCAGGGGGGAGTGGCTTATAAGTGCAGCCAGTGTGGGAAACGGTTCCCGCCGAGCAGGGAGCCCTGTGCGGGGCTTGATCCCAGGACCCTGGGATCATGATCTGAGCCGAAGGCAGACACTTAACGACTGAGCCACCCAGGCGCCCCAAGTCAGAAAATATTTCTTAGTCCTATTTTGGCTTCATTTGCATTGCTTCCTAAGGCATCCTGGGAAAGACTACAGGGCTTTGTAATTAGTATGTAGCAGTGCATTCCTGAGTCACAGTGTAGATGAATGTCTAACTTACTAAGGGATAATCTAATATGTTGGTATCAGTTTACATTCTCACCAGAAAAACCAGAACCAGAGTTCCAGTTTCTTTATATCCTTACACCTGGTATGGTCAGGCTTCTTAATTTCAGTGGTGTAATAGGTGTGTAATGGCACCTTGTGATTTTAATTTGTATTTCCCTAATGATGTGATGTTTAGATGTTTTTCATGTGTTAATATCCAGCCATCATATCTTTTGAAATTTCTGTTCATATAATTTGTCATCTTAATTACTGAGTTTTGATGTTTGTCCATGGATTGTTGATGAAAGTCTATTTTAAATATTTGCCAATATTTCTTCCAGTTATGGTTTGGTCTTTTCAATCACTTGTGAAAAAATTTTAAAATTTTAATGAAGTTGAATTTGTCCATTCTTTCACTGAATATCCTTTTGATCTTGTATACAAGAAATGTTTGTGAAAAAAAAAGTTTGCCAAATATAAAGACAATTTTTCCTATGTTTCTTCCTGTAAGTTTTTTTTAGTTTTTTTACTGATGTTTATGTGCCTTTCTCAGTTAATTTTTGGACATTCTTTAAAAAAAAATATGGGGGCACCTGGGTGGCTCAGTTGGTTAAGCGACTGCCTTCGGCTCAGGTCATGATCCTGGAGTCCCAGGATCGAGTCCCACATCGGGCTCCCTACTCAGCGGGGAGTCTGCTTCTCCCTCTGACCCTCTTCCCTCTCTCGTGCTCTCTATCTCTCATTCTCTCTCTCAAATAAATAAATAAAATCTTTAAAAAAAATAAAATAAAATAAAAAAATAAAAAAAAATATGGATGCCCAGGGGCACCTGGCTGGCTGTCAGTAGAGCATATGACTCTTGATCTCAGGGTCATGAGTTTGGTCCCCACCCTGAGCATACAGATTACTTAAAACAAAACGTGGATACCCAAGAGCTGCTGCCATATTGATTTAAAAGATTATTCCTTCTCCTTTGAATTGGCTCTTGTATCTTCATTGAAGGTCATTCATTTCTCTGAATGCTTATTTCTAGACTCTCTTCTGTTGCATTTATCTATTTTATTCTATGCTTTCATGTGTTGAATAATTTGTTTTGAAATCAGGGCCATGTACTCCTACAACTGTTTTCTTTTTCAAAGTTGTAGTGGTCATTCTTGGTCCTTCACCTTTCCATGAATTTTAGAATCCACTTGTCAGATGAACAGATAAAGATGATGTGGTATATATACAATGGAATACTACTCAGCCATCAAAAAATGAAATCTTGCCATTTGCAACGAACTAGAGGGATGGAACTAGAGGGTATTATGCTAAGCGAAATAAGTCAATCAGAGAAAGACAATTATATGATCTCACTCATATGTGGAATCTAAGAAACAAAGCAGAGGATCATAGGGGAAGAGAGGAAAAAATAAAACAAGACGAAATCAGAGAGGGAGACAAACCATAAGAGACTCTTAATCATAGGAAACAACCTGAGGGTTGCTGGAGGGGATGGGGGTGGGGGGATGGGGTAACTGGGTGATGGGCATTAAGGAGAGCACGTGATGTAATGAGTACTAGGTATTATATAAGACTGATGAATCACTGACCTCTACCTTTGAAACCAATAATACAGTATATGTTAATTAATTGAATTTAAATTTAAAATACAAAAAATAGAATCCATTTGTCAATTTCTGTATCACAGAAAAGCCTACTAGGCTTTTGTTTCGGATTGCATTTAATCTTCAATTTAGAAGAAATACTGAGTGTCCCAATCCATAAACATGATCTGTCTCCTTTTATTTAGATTTTATTGAAATTTTGTTCACAATGTTTGTGTTTTTTTTAAGATTTTATTTTTAGGTCATCTGTATACCCAATGTGGGTCTTGAATCTACAACCCTGAGATTAAGAGTCAGATGCTCCACCTACTGAGCCAGCCAGGTGCCCCTCTTAGCAATGTGTTTTAGTTTTCTTTTTATAGCCCTCACATACCTTACGTATCTCCAAGTATTTTCTACATCTGATGATATTATAAATGGTAATTTTTACCTCAAATTTCAATTTGCCAATTGTTCGGTCTTGTTACACTAAAAGATATTAAACTAAGGATAGAAGAAATCCTCCTTTATGTTATAAATGATGTCTACAAAGAAACTCTTATAAATATTATACCTTATTATTCATTATTAAAATTTTCCCATGTTATTAAAACAAAGGGAAGATAGCTGCTCCTTTCTCTTATTCGGTTGTTCTGGAGTTCCAGTTTCATTCAGTAAGGCAAGATGATGGATATGTAATAGTTGGCAAGGAAAAAATAAACCACCTAAAATATTTCCTGTCTTGTCATCTTCACTATGAGTCCAAATATAGATACCCAGTTTACTGCCTCAACCCTTCCCAAACTCCTAACTTCTTCTTTACCCATTCACTGTTCTTCATTTCTTAGGACACATAACCTTCTATTACACTATGCAACTTAATATAATTTATGAATTGCATATTGCCTTTTCCATCAGCTGTGGAGTAAGTTCCAGGAGGGAAATTTCTTTTTACATTTTGTGCACCGATATATTCCATGTTCCTAGAAATTTGCCTGAAACACATGAGGTACGTAATTGATGTGTTTTTAAAAAAGATTTATTTATTTTAGAGAGAGAGCAGTGGGGAGGGGCAGAGGGAGAGAGAGAAACCCAAGCAGACTGTGCTCAGCACAGAGCCCAATGCACGCCTTGATCTCATGAACCTGAGATCATGACCTGAGCTGAAAACGAGTCGGAGGCTTAACTGAGTACACCACCCAGGCGCCCCCATAATTGATGTTTTAAAATGTTGAACAAAATGACAAAGCATATTTAACGTTTATTTGCCCAACTCTGGATATACTTTCTAACTCCACCCACAGTGTCTTTTCCTTCAGTTTCACTAACCTCAATATTTACAGTAATGGCAAGAAATCCCATTTTGCAAAAAACCTTCAAATTCTCTGAAAAGCCCCAATAGGCATCTGGTTGGCTTACGTCCCTCACTTATTAGATCTCAGATTCCTTTCCTCACAGTCTATTGGGATTTTGATTGTTTGTTTCAAAAGCAAGTTTTCCCCTTTCAGTTTGTGCCACTCCTGATGGATATCTTACTCAGCACTTTTAATAGCTTTCATTGGTTTGCTCAGTCTGAAATATTTTTCAGTTAATATTTACTCCTCATGCAGACACTGTCACTGCACTTAAGGCGAAATGATAATCATTTCCCAGCAAGCAGATGAGGCAATGGAATTCCAGAACTTTGTCTTGGTGTATATGTCCCCCTTGCACAGATGCTGCCATGGCAGTCCCTGTCCTGGGAGCAAACACAATTTGGGAAGTAGCTCTTCTTTTCAGGTATCCGTTTCCTAGAAAATGTTTATCTCAGGAAACCCAGAATTAACTATTCTTTTTTTTTTTAATAAGATTTTATTTATTTGACAGAGACACAGCGAGAGAGGGAACACAAGCAGGGGGAGTGGGAGAGGGAGAAGCAGGCTTCCCGCGGAGCAGGGACCTGGATGCGGGGCTCGATTCCAGGACCCTGGGATCACGACCCGAGCTGAAGGCAGATGCTTAACGACTGAGCCACCCAGGTGCCCCCCAGGATTAACTATTCTTAAAATAAATTTGTCTTCCTGAGGTTGGAATAAAAAAACACCATAGATAGATAGATGATAGATAGATAAAGACAAAACACAAACAGGGAAGACATAAATTTGCTGAGGAAACCAGAGGCATGTCACCAGTCTCGTCAAATTGCCTCAGGGCTGCCCGACATCTCGTGTCTCTCCTCAGTTATATTGTTTTGAAATTTCTCTCACTTGCTTCTCATGAAACACAGTGACCAGAGCAGCATTCACTCTATAAAGTCTTCAAGATACAGGGTTGTGAGTAACAAC